TAAGAGTTTCTTCTGTGTGTTTACTTCATAGTTGGATGTATTTTTAACTTGGTACTTCAACCATTTGATGATTTTCACAAGTAATTCTGGCTGTTTTTGCAGTTACACAGGGTGTTGGGCAAAGGAATCTTAATAGAATTAAAATAGTAATTTTTTTGCCTTTCTTTTCTAAAGATATGACTAGGAAGGAAGTAGCTGTATTATAATCCAGTAGTTGCATTAGATGTATTTCTCCATATGGATGGAAGAGAACAATGGAAAACAGCCCTATATCCTCAGGGATGTTAAACATTTGAAAACAGGAAGTTTTTAAATAAACCAAAATGTGTTCTCCATTGTTCAATCAGTTCTCTCTCTCTTTTAGTTTCCCCAGTAGAAGGAAATAAAAGTGATAGTGTCTATTTTCCCCCTTTTAACTACATCCAACTATAAATGGAATGCAATAATGTTTGTTTATTCATGTCAGATACATCACAATTAAAATCAGGCATACTATGTGACATAAAATTTAAAATATATGACATAAAATGTAAAATGCAAGATTAAAATATGTGCAAGTTAAACAGATCCTGCCCAGAAGCTAGCAACATGAATTGCATTCTGTTGTGCTGTCATGAGATCCTCAAGTGTACATTGATCAGGACACAAATGTTAACATGTGTTGTTGTCTGCATGTCACCACAATCGCGAAGGGCAAAAGCCACCAGATAGTGTCATTTGTTCAGAGTATCTCTGGATCTTGTTACACCTGTGCAAGGTCTATTCAGTGTTTTCCATACTTCCCAGACCCAGGTTCCAGCTCTCCCGATGGTTCCATCCAATGTTGGTTCTTTGTAGCTTTTCATAGGTCCTCTCTGCTTTTAAATTCTTTGAAGTCTTCCATTGACCTAAGGAAACTTTTTCTAGATTTTAATCTCTGAAGAACTGATTGCAGGCCATAGAAAAAATGTTGACTAGTTATAGATAATGTAAACCTCTCTCTGTATGCTGCCTCTTATCTATGAACATGTTATTTTCTCCAAGAAGCATTATTCTTTCTTTGATTCATAAATATCCCCTTTCCAGTGTAGTAAGAAATAATCAAATCTTTAATTCAGAAACCTCTTATTTATCTACCATTATCATAATTAATGGTCTAGAAAGAACAAATTGTGACTATTTGGCTGGAGAATTAAGTTAAACATTCTAATAGCAGTAGATAAGAGTTATTAAATTTTGATCATTTATGAATTAATATACTAACTAGGCAGATCTTTATTCAACAGTTGTTGTTAATATATATATTTAAAATGTTTAAAGGAGTAGGCTGGAAGGTGTTCCAACTTCATGGGAGGAATCCAGTATCTTTTTGTTAAATCACATGTCGTAGAACAATGATGGCAAACCTTTTCGGCACCGAGTGCCCAAACTGGAATGGGCTTGCATGTGCGTGTATGTGCGCACACCAGAGCACCGGAAACCCGAAGACCAGCTGGCCGTTGCGCGCATGCCTGTTTTATGCCGTTTTTGAGGCTGTTTTCCTAGCTGTTTTCCGGTGTCCGCAAAGACCAGCTGACCAGTGCGCATGTGTGTCATGGAAACCAGAAGAGCAGCTGGCAACGGTGCATGTGCCCACAGAGGGGGCTCTGCGTGCCACGTCTGGCACATGTGCCATAGGTTTGCCATCATGGTAATAGAATATTTAACTAAGTTGATCTGGATGACAGTTGCACCTCTTGACTTAAATTTCCTGTCTTGTTTTATTCTTTACAGAGGGGACTTCATGGAGGGACCTAGCTCCCTGTCCAAAGATCCATCTCCAAGACAACACGGTTCCTTACCAACCGTCCAGCCTAAGCCTTCCCTTGACAACGTGCAGCCCAGAAAACAGCCCTCTGAACAATCTTGCATCCCAAGCACTGGCCACCAACTCTTTAGTTTCAGAAAAAGTTTCTGTGCCCCCTACCAAAAGACACTGTCGTTCACTCTCAGTGCCCGAAGACCTTTCCCGCTGGCAAGCTGTCTGGAGGCCCCTGGGCTCCAAAGTGTGGACACATATCAAACGTCGGGAGACCAGTGGAGTGGACACTTTAGCAGTACAATCCAAGAACCTGGTTCAGGAAGCCAACAGACTTTGCTTCAATCCAGTCCCCAGTGCCTCTTATCAGTGTGTTCAAGATGGTGCTGTTGGTGGCAGGAGCCCACCATTTTTCAGTCTGGCTCTGTCTCGAGAATCGCCAGCAAGTGTACCATGGGAGACTGGAGAGACTTTGCAGCCCTACCCTCTGCAACGCCGTTTCTCTCTGTCACCGGTCAGATTCTTGCCATCCCCCCAGAGCTCTACCACTTCCACACCAGAGCTCCTTCGGCACCAGCACAGCCTCCCTCGCAGCCGCTCACAGCCTTGTGACTTGGACACCAGGAAATGTGGTCTCAAGCGGCGCCATGAAGAGGATGTGAGGTGGCATAGGCCCTCACTTGATTTCTACAAGATGAATCAGGTAAGAAAGGAAGCATCTTTTATTTGGCTTTGGAGCCATATTGATCGAAACCTCCCTCTACAATCAGTGAAAAGGTGAAGTGAAAGGGAAGTAAAAAAACTGAAAAAACTACTGAAATAAAATGGGATTTTTCCATGTAGATTATATTCAACACTTATATGGTGCTAAGCAATAAATGAGGGACGTGGTGGCTCAGTGGTTACGACACTGAGCTTGTCGATCAGAAGATTGACAGTTCAGCTGTTTGAATCCCTAGCGCTGCATAACGGAGTGAGCTCCCGTTACTTGTCCCAGCTTCTGCCAACCTAGCAGTTCGAAGGCCGGTAAAAAATGCAAGTAGAAAAATAAGGACCATTTTGGTGGGAAGGTAACAGTGCTCTGTGTGTCTTCAGCATTTAGTCATGCCAGCCACATGACCACAGAGAAGTCCTCAGACAGCGCTGGCTCTTCGGCTTAGAAACGGAGATGTACACCGCCCTTAGAGCCGGAAATGACTAGCATGTATTTGCGGGGGAACCTTTACCTTTAAGCAATAAATGAGTACAATACACTATGGAAAACTTTGGGGATTATCTACAGTTAGTCCTCAATTTATAACTGTAATTGAGCCTGCAAAGATTGCAAGTTGTGCTAGTCATTAATTGGGTCATCACATGACCTACCCAATTTTACAATATTTTTTACAGTGGTTAAGTGAATCCCCGTGGATATTAAGTGAATCCACGGTGGTTAAGCAAACTCATTTGTCTGCAGTGGGTGTTCTTGGCTGAAACCCAGAAATGCTGGTTTCCAGCAAAAAAACACTAGATTGCAGTGTTTGACCATGGGATGCTGCAAACGGCTGTACACGTGGGCCAGTTGCCAAGCCCAAAATGTGACCATGGGAAGGAGCCAGGCTATCTTCAAATCTAAATCATAAAAAAGTTTTGGGAGGCCATTGTAACTTTGAAGATCACTAAGCAACCAGTTGTAAGTTGAGGACTACCTGTATACGACACCCACAAAATTCATCAGCTTACAACAATTCGTTTAATGACCATTTGAAGTTCTTACAGCGCTGAAAAAAATGACTTACGACTGGTCCTTGCAGTTATGACTGCTGCAGCATCCCTCTCGTCATGTAACCATGAGTTGGCCATTTGGCAACCATCACACTTTTGCAACTGCTGCAACATCCTGCAGTCACTTGCCACTTGCGACCTTCCCAACCAATCAATCAGAAGCCGACAGGGAAGGTCACAAGTTGCAGTCATGTGATATCTGGGTAAAAACGGATAAAACAGTGTTCCATCATGTGATGCCTCACTTAATGATTGGACCACTTAACTAATTTATTGGTCTCTCTTGTTGTAAATTGAGGATTTTGCTCCATGTATATTTATTAGAAATGGCAGACCAGATCTTATATAACACGTAGATCCTTCCAAAGAGGAGACTTGCATTGGCAGTTATATTGAAATAATTTTGAGGAGTCCTCAGTGCTCACTTGAGCTTGGTTGTTTTCATACAAACTAGGTCTGTGAATGGTGAACCTATGGCACGTGTCTCAGAGGTGGCATGCAGAGCCCTATCTGTGGCCACACGCACCATTGCCAGCTGCTCTTCTGGTTTATCCGGCATGCACATGCATGTCACCCAGCTGATCTTTGCATATCCTGGAGCCCCTAGTCTTTGAATTTCCAGGTGTGCACGCGCATTCTGGTTTGGGCACTCGGTGCCGAAAAGGTTCGCCATCACTGAACTAGGTAATATCAATGAAATAATTTTGTCTGTATCCTGTATTATCAGGATATTAATTTATTGTTAGACGAGCCAATGGTTATTTGAAACCATTCATGAGCAGGAAGAATTAGAACCGAAGTAGCTGAAGACAACCTACAGTGTTCTTCACACTTAGAGCAAAGCAATGCACTCTAGGTCCTGGGTTTGGCAAAAATTACCCAATGATCCTTAATGGAAAAATGAGGTGGGTTCTCTTTTAAACAATTGTAATTGAACTGGAATTTGTCACGAAGTGATGTGGTTGTACAGTGGAATGTTGCAGGACCATGTTGCTTAGCAACATCTATTGCTGTTATGTCAGGACCTCCTCACTGCTTTCTGCCAGCTTCCAACAAGCAAAGTAAGTGGGGAAGTTGACAAAAATCCCTACAAATCCCAGGTGGCTTGCAAACGGCGGATGGATGGATGGGTGAGTGCTCTGGATAGAACATAGGTGGCTGCTGCAGCCCAATGTAGGCATGGCTGGACATGGGGTGGAATCAGTGCTCTGGAGGGCAGAATACACAGGTGGTTGCTGCAGCTCAGCCCAAGTGTGGCTAGGTGTGAGTGGGTGTTGCAGAATTGGGAGAAAGTAGCAGAAGTCATTCCTGCTGACTTCCCCATTGATTTTGGTTGTGGGAAGCCGACAAGGAAGGTCAGAAGTGGTGATCATGTGACTGCATGGCTACTGGGACAAATGGAACTTCAGGGACTGATCGTAAGTACCACTCATTCATTGCCATAATAACTTTGAACAAGTGGTTGTTAACCAAGGATTATTCGTTATGCAATCTATAGCCAGCGATTGGAGAGACCATAAATAAAATTATTATAAAATAATAAAGATAGCCCAGTAGTAGAAGAGATGTCAATAGAACAATTATATTATGTGCATCTAGAATGTTTCAGAAAGTATAGGAGCACTATTTGCCATACTTTGCCCGCCCAGCCGCCCTGTTTAGGATAACCCGCTCCCTCCTAAATAGGAGGGAGGCGGGGGACCCCTTACAGGGTAAGGCTGAGATGTATGTCCAGTTCTTGGCGGACAAAGTTGCTCGGTTTCGGTCGGACCTGGACTCCACTCCCGCAGATCCAGCCGAGACACAAGGGAATAGCTTGGCAGACCATCTCTGGGTTGAGTTTCAGGATGTGGCCTCCGGGGATGTAGACAAGGCTATGCGAGCTGTAAGCGCCTCCACCTGTATACTGGACCTATGTCCCTCCTAGCTGGTTGCCAACAGCAGTGAGNATACATGTACAGGTATGATGACATAACTATGTTGATATAATGACTGTAAGGTGTTGTAGAAGGGAAAAAATAATAATAAAAATCTGCTAAAAAAAAGAAACTAAAAAACATATATAGTCAATATTTACTCACATAAACTTTCACGTTTGACTTATTAATCTTCCTGGTAAGAGTTTTTTCCTGCTTAGCTCTACAGTGTATTATGCTACGAGTAGCTGTATTTGAAATATTTTGGACACTGAATGTTATGTTGACCAGATTCTCATCAGAAATGAAAACCTCAAGTTCATGTCTAGAAAGATTTAAGTTGTCTTTAGTTTTCTAGAGAAATGGGAAAAAAATAGAATGAACCATGCAGTAAAATTCAAACAATGAAAATTGTTTAAAAGATTGTTTTAATTGTTTTAAAAACTCACAACTTACATGTATTTTCAATTCCAGGTCAGGTTCCAAATCAGTTATTAGTTCATAATGAATAAATTCAGGATCAGGATAATATTGAAAGTAACCGCAAGATATATTAATATTTTCAACTTTAGAAATAATGTTAATAATCTTAGATCCTTTTTCCATCTTAATAGCTGGGGTTGTAAAACTGCATTCGTAACTATTTTTATGGCAAGTAAATTGCTAAAAAAAAGCAGTATTGAGAAAATTATAACTTATGGCAATACACATGCACACACATAGTATTATTAAAGGTTGCAGATCTATGCACAGTTCAAATGTTTAAACTTCAGAATTCAGTGAGATTTGATATTTCTTATATGCAAATATATTCATAAGTTTATTCACATACATTTTAAAACACCATCAGCAGCCTAATTAACCTTTAGATCGAATCATAACAGTTTTAAATTATGCATACACACATACACAAATACATACACATCCAAATTTGATATTTAATACAAAACCATTAATCAGATGATGTTGTATTTAGAAATGATGATGAGCTATTAAAATTGTTTTTACTTGCTGGGATGAAGAAGAAAGTTATTTCTGTTCGTTTTCTATTTTTCTTTTTGTATTTTACTGTTTGGTTTTTTGTAGCTTGTATTTTTATTATTATTCATAATGCTTAAATTTGTTTGAATATTAGTATTGTTCTTGTTAGAATTTATACAGTCATCTTAACTAAATTTCCATTTAAACACGTTAAAAACATTCAGCACTCTGAATCAGCATGAATTTCCCACATTGTATCCTACCATTTAAAGCCGCTGGCTTTAAATACAGTATTAATATCAGAATAAAGAAGTCTAGATTTTTCCTTGATTTCTCACCAGCTTCTCGTAACATTGTCCATAGCATCATTCTGGACTGGCTCAGGGCATAAGAGTTTCCTTTTTCCAGATTTGGTTCCACTTGGTGCTGGTAAACTCTGTTTTGCAGGATCCCACTGCTTATCCCCACTCCTATTTTACATTTTTATGGAGCTACTGATTTGTAGTTATCCAATGGCACAAGATCATCATTATGCTTCGTCAGCATAATGACGGGGTTGAGAGGTATAGCTGAGTATTTTTATCCATATGTTTATGAGACTCCACTGCACATCTCAACATCAACCAATGAAAGATGCTCTCAAATTTCTTTCTCAGTGTCTGAAAGCTGTAGAAGCTTGGATGGGAAAGAAATAAGTTTAGGTTCAATTCTAGCAGGAGTGATTGACTAACTCTGGGCTTTAGGATCCCCAAGCTGGTAATTTTCCACATTGGTTCTGAATGGGGTTGCAAATGAAGGCAAATATAATACAGGATAATATTTAATAATATTTCAGGATCCAATCTGGGTTGGTCACTAGGACCAGAGGTTTAATCTTCCAAGCTTTCAGACTTGTGCTGGAGCACATCATCAGGCAACTTCTCTCTTAGAACTAGTGTAAATTTGAGCATAGTCCTAGATTATTGGATCCTGTTCAAAAAGTATGTAGTAGGCATGGCTAGGAGAATCCTTGCACAATATCGTGTGGCAACTGCATCAGTCTCTAGATGGGGAAGTGCAACTCAAATATTTGTGCCCCGATGAATGCCTTTTTGGATTACTGCAACATGCTGTGCAACATGAGACTTCCTTAAGAACTACATGGTCACATCTGTGTACCCAAGCTATGTACTGTGTACTGTCCAAGCTATATTGACTCCCAGTAGGTTTCCGGGTGCAATTCAAAGTTCATGTTATCGTCTATAAAACCGGTCAAGACAGTCTGGGTTACATGGGGGAACTATCTGTGTCCAATTATTTCTGCCTATCCCACAGAATGGGCAGATGACAGGTCCCCTCAATCAAATGATGTCATCTGATGAGATCTACAAAGCACAGCTTTTCTGTCTACCCTGTGGAAAGCATAAGCCCTGGAAATTTGGATAGCTCTGCTCTGGCTTTTTCTCAGCCATTGGTAGGATAGTTAGAGATCCTATTTTTCAGGGCATTGTGAATATTAATATCCATGTTACTTCTGTTATTATTTGTTTTGTCCTGTTTTCTGATTTTTATTATTAATTTTAATTGTTCAACATGCAGACTCATATGTTGAGTAAGTGGCCTTATAAATCTAAATTCTTTACAAGCAATACATTTGGGCACATTTTAATTCATTTAAAGGCAGAGACACTTGGAGGAAAGACAACATAAAGAGTACCTACCATTATGCTTTGTGGGAAATCACTTAAAATAATTTCATCTATGATATTTAGATATTTCCCATGTATAGTCATATTGCGACCTCCACTGGGGGAAGGGGGCAAAAAAATAAAAAATGTTAAAACATGAATTTCTTAATAAATAAAAATGAAAAAAAATCACATAAGCTAATTTTCAGAGTTGAACGCAAACTACATTAACTCAGAATATTAAATTTTCAAATAATCAGGCAATCTACACATTTCTGATTTCAACTATCCCCTCTTACGGCACTGCACAAGGCAGACTGTTTCAGGTAGCTTGCTAGCTATAGCCTTAGATATTGTCAATACTTGAAGTATCTACACAATAAAATTGAGCTCGTAATACAATTCCTGCAATATATGATTATGTTTCTAAAAAGTGAATTTAAGCATACATATATTCAGTGCATTACAGAAAGAAGCATTAAAGAAAAAATATATTATTAAAAATATGCATAAGATACCATAAAATATAAAACCCTCAAAATATATTTCTTAGGTTATGTTATCTTTAGATTATATAAATAGCACATATACATTCAATATACAAGAGTATAAATAAAAAGGCAGATAGAGAAAAACTTTTTAAATTGATCAGTAATTTGTTACCCATACAAATATACACAAAACCTGGGACAATTCTACAACTGACTTGGCACATATGAAAAATTATTATGTTATTTTGATTACATAATTGTTTTTCATGCTTATATGTGTGTGTGTATGTGTGTGTGTGTTTTCATAGATTTTCACGGGTGTAGGTATGCTGGTCTTGTTGTATTCGGGTCTTTTCCCATGTAAGATTGAGATTGTCTTGGCAACGTTTCAGCGAGGTCCCACTCACCATCTTCAGGCTGGTGTTTTCTTTTGTGTTGTAATGGCCTGGGTGGTGGGTGGGGTTCGTTTGTTGACTAGGGCTGGTTTCCAGATGTCTGGTAGGCAGGAGGTATTCTCATGTTTATTCATGTTGTGGGGGTGTTTCTCTATTTCGATGGCTTCCATTAACGTTGCCAAAACAATCTCAATCTTACATGGGAAAAGACCCGAATACAACAAGACCAGCATACCTA